TTGAAAGTGTGAATTTCATACCTAAACTATTACCTATTATTTTGATAAACACACCTCTCTTTTTTATACCACTCTCACCATGATGTGTGTAATACACTCTCTCTTTTATTTTAAAAAATTGTCACAGCACACTCCACATGGGCAAAACATTTCACTTTGATAAAAATTAAATAAATTATTAGTATTAGTTAAAATTAAAGATTAAAATTATTATCCAAAAAAAAAATAATATTTTTTTTATAAAATAAAAAAGTAAAATATTTTTCTTACCCCACTCCATCACTTCCTCTCCCCCCACCCCGTGCCCATTTTTTTTTGTTTAAATTTCTTTTATAAAAGTATTTAATTTTTTTCTACTTCATCTCCCCCCCCCCCCTCTCAAATACTAATTTAGATATTATTTTATTTTAAAAAAAATAATTCTATCCACTAGTCACATAACCCTCCGCTTCCAATTTTTTTCCTCATTTTGTGTTATATATATATATATCCGCCGCAAGACTTTTTTAAAATAAAATTTTTATTTATGTTATATACTGTACACTAGTAGAAAAAAATTCCTAGAAATATATGTACATATATAACACAAAACAAATAAAAAAAATAAAAAAAATTAAATATATATATATATATATTTTATTTTATTTTTTTTGGGGGGATAGTAATACTTTAATTTTTTTATTAATATTAATAATTTATTATTTAATTTTTGTCAAGGTGGAATATTTTATCTATGTGGAATGCCATTTGTCAAGGTTTTTTCAAATAAAAGAGAGTGTATTACACACACCTCAGAGGTGTGTTTCTCAAACTAAAAAGTGATAGTTTAGGTATGAAACTCCGTCAATGTTTTTTCAAATAAAAGAGATAGTGCATTACACACACCTCAAAGTGTTTCTCAAACTAAAAAATAATCGTTTAGGTATGAAACTCACACTCTCAATAGTTTAGGTATGAAACTCAGAGATAGTTTAGGTGTGTTTTTGACACTTATCTCATAATATTATAACAAACGTCAATTATAATAAGGATTGACCGTAGTAATAAATCATTCCTCGTTCTTAAAGAAGAATTAATATGTTTTAGCACCGAGAGCTTTCAATATTTGAGAATATATTTTGAATACAGTAGGCAAGATGATTGATTAACCAAATAGGAACTTGCCTTATTTTATTGTTTTTTGGCTAAAATGCAGAGGCAAAAACTTCGAGATGCGCTGAATATATTTTATTAATGCAATAATTATGAAGACTAATTAGATTAGGAAAATGACTACCTAATGGCTGAGACCAATAATTTAATTTATTAGATGATCTTTAATGTGTGTGTTGCAAAATCTGCTGACCAAATAAAAGCACTTTCGGAAAATGCCTCTTAAACCCGGTCCAATATCATATTAAGAGTATTTTATTTTATCATAGATCTTCTTAATTTTTCATCTTATAAAGTACTCTTAATATAATTAAGATATTTATTTAAAGATTTAATTTATCATTCATTTTCACAATAATCACCGCCCTTATCGTTATCTATCAGCTATCACTATCAACTACCACCCCATCACCTACAACCAGGCCACCACCATCACCACCGCGTTCAATTAACACAGTCAATTGTCAGGCCATAATGTTCAATCATCGCCTCAAATCACCAATCACAAGCGAGAATCACAATAACAAACACCCACTATATATCGTCAACAATTATTGTTAATTGCCACCACCAGCTCCACACTTACAATCTATCACCATTGACAGTCGTCATGATCACCACATGATATCTCTTTCCATCACCATTACTCAATATAATCCTCGATCATTCGACACCAACAATCAACATTGCTAGCCATCATCACCTCTAACTGTCATATAATTTTTTTAAGAGAATATTTTATAATAGTATTGATTATTTTGGTATTTTATTTAAATTTTTAAAGAAAAATAAATTTCAAATATTCAAATGTTGAGAACAAGCCATTTTACTTATTTAGTAATCAATTTTTTGATACAACAGTACATCTTAATATACAAATATACATACATACACGAACGTCTAAATGTTAACAAAAAGAAATATGGTCTTATACTTGCACGGAGAAGTGTGTTCTTAAGAACTACATTAGTTCTTTGTTAGGAGAGACCCAAGATATATACAGTCAAATTAGATAATTATAATGAAATAATAATATTACAACGAATATAATAAATCATTCCTTGATCTTTAAGAAGAATTAATATGTTTTAGCACTCACGTGGATAAACGAGTACAGAAAGCATAAGAATGTTATGGTTATCATCATATCAGAATGTGGAGGTCTGGGAATATATATAAACAATTGAGTACTAAATTATTAAACTGTAGAAAGTAAAAATTACGATTAAAAATACAACTTGTAATCGTAGGTTTAACGACAAAAGTTGAACAACGTGACATTATAATTAAATGGGTTAGACGGTTTCTTATTTTTATTATTATCTCTTCCAAGGGGGTTGGTGGAAAGACAGTGGGATGTCAAACCACGCCAGGGACATGTGCAATTTATTTATTCGATAAAATTATGATCCGGTATCTTTTTATTTTTCTATTTCAATGTGGAATTTTAATTTTTTATTTTATTTTAAAATAAATAATGTTTCACATCATTAAGAAGATATTAATAATGTTTTTAATTTTATTCTCATTTAAAAAATAAATTATTTAAGTAAGAAAATACTTTAAAAATACATCTTTTTCAAGGTATTTATTAAGAATAAATTAGTCACCCTTCGGGGTGGTGCAGTGGTTTGGGCTTGGAACTTTCATGTTGGAGGTCTCAAGTTCGAAACCCCTTGCCAGCGAAAGCAAGGGATTTGCCTTCTGGGTTGAGCTCGTCGCACCGGGCTTGCCTAGTGCGGTTTACCTCTTCTATGTGGTTTGCGAGCTATTGCATAGGAGCGGATATTACCATGTGCGCACCCAAAGGGTAGCGGGCTGCGGGTTTCCCTTGTCATAAAAAAAAAAATACATCTTACGCTTTATGGACGAGTAATTTTTTTTAAAGGGAGTGTCCAAATAAAAAAACACCACTTATTTTGAAATAGAGGGAGTAGAAGTCTTTTGTTTGTTTCTAAAGTCTATGTCGTTAGATTAACAATTATGAGAACCATAAGAATACGTGAAATTAGGGTATGTAAGTGTTATTACTATCTTCAATTCAAAATAAATTCATTTTCAACACTTATTCTATGGTCCAAAACAAATAAAATTTTCAAATGTATCAGTATTACTTCTTTTCTTCCAAAATTACTCATCTCTTTAATGAGTATGTGTTTTCAAATATCTCTAGATTCAAAAAGAATTCTAGAAGAAGCAAAAATATAATACTGACAAACTACTCTCTAATTAATGTCACTAATAAATTTTCTTCACGCCTCAAAAATTTATTTATTTTTAAATTAGAGGGTGTTCGAATAAATAAAATACATGTACGTCACCCGCAATAAATTGACTTGCACGCTAGCTGTCCCGGCTTGGAAAGAGGATGATGATGCTTTTGCTTGTTAGTGTTTATAATAGTATTATTGAGCCAGAAGAATACAATATTGATCAAGAGATATTTATAATATATTTATAGGATAAGTTAACTTAATTCGGTGTATTTCAACCAATACAATTAACACAAAATGTCACTTGAAAATCTTATTGTTAAATAAAATATTTTGACAAACTAAAGATGAAAAATGGAAATCCTCCCAGCCGAACATGACCTTTTTAAAAGTACAAGCTAAGTTACAAGGATATGAAAAAAGAACGATTTTAACAAATCCTCATAGAGAAACATGCCTATCCTGTCAAATCATATCATAATTCATGTCGTGAAACACGTGATGACCTAGTTGTGTGAAACTAGGTCTTAAAGTCTAACTCACAGCTAGCTTATGTGCGTGAACAATTTTGATTTTGAGAGTCCCAACATTGGGTGAGATGGACTTGCTCTAATATCATGTGAAAGTGTTATTATCTCATCTTAAAACTTAAACTATTAAAAAAAACACATTTTTATTAGTTAATTATATACTTTCAACAAGCCGCTTGATTGCTTTTGATATAATTTGTAAATATTTCTTATACTTTTTCATAATTCTTATCTTTTAACATATTATTTCAAGTTTTGAGACATAAAATTTTGAATGGTCCAATGAAAGTTATAGTCCATAGATATTGGTCACTCTAATAAAACTCGAATCACTACTAATGCTAACCAAAAAAAAAAAATCAACACTAAGAATGACAATAATGTCCCTTGACTTAAACATTTAAAATACATTATTTAATTTTAGTTTTCTTTAATGTTTAATCATGTAATTAATACTTATTAGACTTATTAGCATGATTTAGTACTTTTAATCATTTTCATTATGACTTATTAATTTTCAATATTTATTTTTTGTTGGATACTTTAGTGTAACACTCATCTCATATTTTGTGTTATTCTCTTATGAAACTCCTTAGATAGTTGTATTTTGGTAGGACTAAGGTAATTAGATGTTTGTATGAACAATTTACCAGAAAACCCCGAAAAAATTTGATAACCCGAGTTTGAAAAACCCAATTAGTTTTATTAATTTGATTTGGTTTATATATTAATTAAAATCCAACATAAATAGTTTGGTTTGATATTTGAAAAATCAGAATCAACTCGGCCATGTACACCTCATTGGAATGAAAATGTTTTGGGAACAAAAAATGATATTGTTAATTTTATAAATTTAATAATTGTGAGAACCATTTTCAAACTAGGGTACGTAAAGAGCACGTAAACAAATTAAGAGAAAGTCAGCTATATTATCATGTTATGACACACGTTGATTACCTTGCAATTGAGAGTCTTATTTAAGCCACTATATCCACGATCACAATATCTTCTTTATTCTCTTCCATCTATTATTGGTTATATAAAAACATGAATAATATATGGTTTTTCACTATTCTCTTAATTTTTTCAACTATAGTAGCCATGGCATTGCCCTCCAATTAATGTTGGTTATCCCGTCCCACAACTTGACTGTCTTAGCTGGCGCCTCGCCGTGGAGACGAACAACCTCCAAAACTGGAAATTGGTGCCTAAAGAGTGTGAAAACTATGTAGGTCACTACATGTTAGGCAAATTACAATATCGACGTGACTGTGAGTATGTTGCCAAGCAGGCTATTGAATATGCCAAAGGCCTCAAACTAAATAGAGATGGAAAGGACGTTTGGGTCTTTGATGTTGATGACACTACTCTCTCAAATCTTCCTTACTATGCTCGATCTGATGTTCGTTTTGGGTAACAAAAATAAATCATAATTTCTTTTTTACTACGTTTTTTTATAGGGAAAAATGACAAATATGCCCTCAAACTATTGTAAATGGTATGCAGATACCCTCCGTCATATTTTTGGGACATTGGTGCCCCCACCGTCCAAAAACTAGAGCATATATACCCTTTATACTAACGGATATACACGTGTGATAATCTTATCCACCGATCCGACATTTATTATATATCAGATCAACGGATAAGATTGCACCATGTGTTTCTATTTAGTCTTCCGTTAGAGTTAAGGGCATATATGCTCTAGTTTTTGAACAGCAGGGACATCAATGTCCCAAAAGTATGACGAATGGTATATGCATACCATTTACGATAGTTCAGGGGTATATTTGTCCTTTTCCCCTTTTTTATATATATGCAACTAGTGATGTCATACGTAATTTTGTATATAGGACTATAGCGTTGAACGATACAAAGTTTATTGAGTGGCTTGCTGAGGGAAAATTGCCCGTCATTCCTTCGATACTGGGTGTATACAAGACCTTGTTATCTCTTGGGATCAAGCCCGTTATAATTACAGGGGCTCCAGAGAATTTTAGACAATCAAGGATTGCTAATCTCAAGAAAGCTGGTTATAGTAACTGGCTAAAGCTCGTACTAAGGTAATTAACCGATACTTCTATTCATATCTTATTTTACATGACACTATTTAAGTATGTTTCGAACATTTATATAGATATAGAGTAATACTTTGACATGATTATTGCAGGGGTGGAAATAATTCAAAATCAGCAGTAGAGTATAAATCGAGCAAGAGAATGGAGTTGGTAAAAGCTGGATATAGAATTGTTGGTAATATTGGAGATCAATGGACTGATTTAATCGGAGAAATCGTTGGAGCTCGTACTTTCAAAGTCCCTAACCCTATGTACTACGTTGGTTAATACTAAGAAATTTTAATTAAGCATGCTAATAATTAACAAAGGAAGCAAGTAACTTTTTAATTTTGTCACATGTGAGATATGATTATAAGCTCACTGTTCCAGTATAATTTATCATGTATTTGACTTTTCCTTTTTCCTTTTCCCACTCCCTTTATCATAATTAATAGTAATAAAGAATTGCTTCAATTTTCTTTTTTCTCAATTGGCAATTGCATTCCTTTATTTTAAAATTATGAAATGTTTTAGTTTCATCAGTATATAAGGCCTCTCTAACAAAAATTATTTTAGGGGTAATAAATATACACATATTGACAAATAGGGCTAAAATATTTATCGGCATGTATTAGTTAATTGTCAATGAATTCAATGTCATTATAGGCTTTAGGGACATTTACACGCAGGGCTAATTACCGATAAATTGAAATATATATTTAGCGGCAATTAAACTATTGTCGTAAATAAATTACGTGAAAGATCATTTTTTTTAAATTAGTGAACGCACAATTAACATCTTATTTTATTGAGGAACTTTCGCATATCGCTACTCAAAAATAGTCTAATTACTCTCCATAACAAACACCCACTATATATTGTCAACAATCATTGTCAATTGCCGCCACCAGCTCCACACTTACAATTTATCACCATTGACAGTCGTCATGATCACCACATGATATCTCTTTCCATCACCATTACTCAATATAATCCTCGATCATTCGACACCAACAATCAACATCGCTAGCCATCATCACCTCTAACTGTCATATAATTTTTTTAAGAAAATATTTTATAATAGTATTGATTATTTTGGTATTTTATTTAAATTTTATATTTATTAATTTTTAAAGAAAAATAAATTTCAGATATTCAAATGTTGAGAACAAGCCATTTTACTTATTTAGTAATCAATTTTTTGATACAACAGTACATCTTATAAATATACAAATATACATACATACACGATCGTCTAAATCTTAACAAAAAGAAAGATGGTCTTATACTTGCACGGAGAAGTGTGTTCTTAAGAACTACATTAGTTCTTTGTTAGGAGAGACCCAAGATATATACAGTCAAATTAGATAATTATAATGAAATAATAATATTACAACGAATATAATAAATCATTCCTTGATCTTTAAGAAGAATTAATATGTTTTAGCACTCACGTGGATAAACGAGTACAGAAAGCATAAGAATGTTATGGTTATCATCATATCAGAATGTGGAGGTCTGGGAATATATATAAACAATTGAGTACTAAATTATTAAACTGTAAAAAGTAAAAATTACTCCTATTAAAAATACAACTTGTAATCGTAAGTTTAACGACAAAAGTTGAACATGTGACATTATAATTAAATGGGTTAGACGGTTTCTTATTTTTATTATTATCTCCTCTAAGGGGGTTGGTGGAAAGACAGTGGGATGTCAAACCACGCCTGCAGGGACATGACAATTTATTTATTCGATAAAATTTTGATCCGGTATCTTTTTATTTTTCTATTTCAATGTGGAATTTTAATTTTTTTATTTTATTTTAAAATAAATAATGTTTCACATCATTAAGAAGATATTAATAATGTTTTTAATTTTATTCTCATTTAAAAAATAAAATTTATTTAAGTAAGAAAATACTTTAAAAATACATCTTTTTCAAGGTATTTATTAAGAATAAGTTAGTAAAAATACATCTTACGTTTTATGGATGAGTAATTTTTTTAAAGGGCTTGTCCAAATAAAAAATATCACTTATTTTGAAATAAAGGGAGTAGAAGTTTTTTGTTTATTTCTAATGTCGATGCAGTTAAATTAACAATTATGAGAACCATAAGAATACGCTGAAATTAGGGTAAGTAAGTGTTATTACTCCCTCCGCTTCAAAATAAATTAATTTTCAACACTTATAATTCTATGGTCCAAAACAAAGTAAATTTTTCAAAGCCTAAGATGTATTACTTATTTTCTTCGAAAATTACTCATCTCGTTATTGAGTATGTTTTTCAAATATCTCTAGATTCAAAAAGAATTCTGGAAGAAGCAAAAAAATAGTATTGACTTTAATTAATATCACTAATAAATTTTCTTCACGCCTCAAAAATTCATTTACTTTTAAATTAGAGGGTGTATGAATAAATAAAATACATGTACGTGACCCGCAATATATTGACTTGCACTCTACCTGTCCTGGCTTGGAAAGGGGATGATGCTTTTGCTTGTTAGTATTTATAATATTACTCAGTATAATCGGAAGAATAAAATATTGATCAAGAGATCGATTGGGATATATATTTATAGGATAAGATAACTTAATTTGATCATGTGGATCACGTCCGATACGATTGTTACACAAATATAGTATCGAGTATCGACTATTATGGTCATTTAACGCGATTAATTGAAAGCCGAAATATGCTAGTGTACATGTTCCGGACCCAGGACCAAGTTCTAGGATGATTCGGTGGTCTATGGTCGATTTGGGTTGACTGCGTCCTTTCTCTGTTTGGCACGGTCAAATAATCTCAAACCAGTGTAATATTGTCACTTAAAAAACTTATTGTTAAATAAAATGTTTTGACAGACTAAAGATGAAATATGGAAATCTTCCCAGCCGAACATGACCTTTTTAAAAGTACAAGGACATGAAAAAAAACAAATCCTCATAGAGACAAGTCTATCCTGTCAAATCATATCATAATTCATGTCGTGAAACACGTGATGACCTAGTTGTCTGAAAACTAGGTCTTACTGACACCTCAAAATTAAGCTATCTCAAGAGAGGATGTATGTGGGCAATTTTGATTTTGAAAGTTTCAACATTGGGTATGATGGACCTGCTCTGATACCAAGTGAAAGTGTTATTATTTCATCTTAAAAGCTTAAACTATTAAAAAAAAAATATTTTTATTAATTAATTATATATATTCTCAACAAGCCGCTTGATTGCTTTTGAGAGGTAGTTGAGATTGAGGATCTTATATAAGGGCACCATATCCGAGCAATATAATCTCAACATCTTCTTTCTTCTCTTCCATCAAAATGAGGTGTTTCACTATTCTCTTCTTTTTTTCAGCTATAGTGGTTGTGGCATTGGCCTCTAATGTCGAAGAGGTCATTAGCCAAGTAGTAGAAATTCACCGTCTAAGACCACAAACTGGTTCCGCTGGTTATACCGTCCCACAATTAGACTGTCTTAGCTGGCGCCTCGCGGTGGAGACGAACAACCTCCAAAACTGGAAATTGGTGCCTAAAGAATGTACAAACTATGTAGGTCATTACATGTTAGGCAAACAATATCGACGTGACTGTGAGTATGTTGCCAAACAGGCTATTGAGTATGCCAAAACCCTCAAACTTGGCGGAGATGGAAAGGATGTTTGGGTATTTGATATTGATGAGACCACTCTCTCAAATTCTCCTTACTACGCTCGATCCGACGTTGCTTTTGGGTAAAAAATTAAAAACATTAGTATAATAATTTTTATGTGTGTGTCCGCTTATTACGTTTTCTAGTAGGTACATAGATATCTATATATGTATGAGAAATTTCATAAATAGCGTTATTAATTAGCATCCATGTTTGCAAATATAGTTAAGATTTTGTTTTAATCCAAAACATATGGAATAGTAGTAGCATTTTGATTTCTAAATGTAGTAAAATACACTTACAACATCGCATCCTAACTAAAATTTCATATCTGATTGTAATTATATGTATGTACGATCAAGTAGATATTCAATGCATTTTTGTGCAGGGCTATAGCGTACAACAACACAAAGTTTAGTGCGTGGCTAGCGGAGGGAAAAGCACCAGCCATTCCATCGATACTGGGTGTATACAAGACTGTGTTGTCTTTGGGGATCAAGCCCGTTTTCATTACAGGGACCAGAGAGAATTTCAAACAAGTTAGGATTGTCAATCTCAAGAAAGTTGGTTATAGCAACTGGGCAGCGCTTATACTAAAGTAAGCAATATGTTCGTATTTTCAATACTGTTACATATTTTTTTATGTAAATTTATTTGACTGGACGATGGATGACTTTACAGGGGAGAAAATGATTCGGGATCAGCAGTGCAATTTAAATCAAGCAAGAGAACAGAATTGGTTAAAGCTGGATATAGAATTGTTGGTAATATTGGAGATCAATGGACTGATTTGATCGGAGAAAACGTTGGAGCTCGTACATTCAAAGTCCCTGACCCTATGTATTACATTAGTTGATTCTAAGCAAATTTTAATCATCAAGCAAGCTAATTAATTAACAAAGGGGGGTAGCTTTTTTATTTCATGTTTTATGTCTTTCGACTTTTCCTATTCACCCTCACTTTGCTATAATAACGACTTGCTTCAACATTTTAATTGTTTTCTTCTTGGCAATTTTGTTCCTTTATCTTAAAAAAACACGCACATCTCTATTCATTTAATTTCTCATTGTAGCCTAGACTCAAGAGGATCAGATCACCACATGACGTTAATTAATTAAATTGCGCAACTTAAACAAAGTGCAATAATGGAACAGGAAGAAATTTCTTTTTTTTTTTGTTATAAAAATAAACAACCCATACCTAACGATTATTGAAATTGCTTTGTGCGATGTGATAGCTTTAGATGTTGAAAGGTTTTCATCAAATAATATGATTTTTCATTTATGGTATACCTATACATTTTTTTAGTTTCAAAATATTATTGTCCTTTTGTCTCAAAATATTTGTTATTTTAGATGTTCATGATAAAATTAACTTTTTTTTTCTTATTTTACCTTTAATTGTAAATACTCATTTTTGAAGACTAAATACACTTCAAACATATATTATATAAATAGAGAAATCAATAAAAATAGATTATATCTGAAGACATTAATAAGGATAAAATATCATTACTCCTAACTAATATTTTCTTAAAAACGTGTAAATAAAAAATACAACAAGTGTTCTGAGACATAGCTAGTAGTATATGTCAAGTGCACCAATAGTTATCACAATTAATTTAGCTAATGTTTGACCATAGATATTTGAAAGT